TTTATAATCCAGTAGTCCATCATTCGTAATAGTCCATCATTTAAAGAAACTGAAATGTGTTCTATACTTATACAGAATGTGCTTCACAATTTACAGAAAACCTGCTGTACAGAAAACTATTCAACCATTTAGACAACTCATTAAAAGCCTAAAGAAGCATGTTGAGACTGCTTCAGTTTCTCCTTCAGGAAGCTTCACTTGGTTTTGAAATGATGCAGTGAAAATACCAACATGTTTGGTATTATACAGTATAGTGCATAGAGAAACAGATGTGTTCTCTGTTGCCCAAGTGAGGACGTTTTAGAGCCAGCTTCAGCTCTTCACCATTCATGAAGTGTGACTCCCATGGCGGTCATCCAACGTGTACAGGACATATCTCTTCATGCCGCCACCATGTTCGGCTCCATTAGCGCGACACTGAAGGTGAAACCAGTGACCCAGTATCACGATTGCTCTCTTTAAAAGCTGTCCCATAAGTACAGGAGAAGTATAATGGAAGTTAATAAGGCTCTGCTCAATATAATACATATCGATGCATGCTCCGTTAGGCTCCTCGACAGACAGCCCTCTCTTTCCCTCTCTCCCTCACTCCCTCTCTCTGAGGACCATACCGGTTGATTCATCATGTGATATCACTGTGTGTCTTTCCAGCTAACGTCGCTAATAGCCCTACCCTGCCTCCTAATCACATTACAAATCATACTGCTCTGTCAGTAGTAATGGACATAATGCATGTGGGGCTCATAGCTGCACCATAGACCAGCCTTTTCCACTGAGAAAGACAGTTTTTATACCACACGACTGTAGTCTATTGGGATTTACAGTACAGGAGGGCCTGTTCACAAAGGTTTACCATGGAGGTTATGTGATGCTTATCATTTATTTTATATCTCAATTCAATGTTGGCTGTTTATATATCCACTTGATTTGACAGTGTTATCAGCAGCTGATACTAACTTGATGACAAAAGTAATGATGGATCGGGTTTTATGTGCAATACGCTGTCAAAACATTATGAAAATCCCTAATGCGTGTCGCAGACAGCTCTTTAACCTGACAATGGACACGTTTATTTCTGGTCTGTTGTCTGACTTATCAGAATTGTTATCAATTCTATGTTGTGTCAAACAAATAAAATGTCTTTTGATCATTTGACTATCTCTTAATTTAAAGCAAAGTCACCTTGACACTCTTTGTTGCATTAATGCAGTGCAACAGGTGATTCTCTGACATTAAGTCAAGATCCACTGTCTAATACTTTCATAAATGACCAACATACATAAATATTGACATTGGAATTAGTCTCATCTTTACTTTTTTGTGCTAATCAGCAAAGGTTATTAAAGGTTTTTTATACATCAGCATGTTAACATTGTCATTGTAAGCATGTCAGCCTGCTGATGTTAGCATTTAGCTCAAAGGACCTCACAAAGCAAGCGCCTTTACCAATAAGAAATCTCACATGAATTGATAATGTGTCATCTCTTTCTCCTTTACTTCACTCTGCAGCCGTCCAGGTGCACATTCTGAAGGCAGACAAAGCCGGCGAGTGGTGGAAGTTCACCGTCAACATCATCTCCGTCTACAAGCAGGGTGAGAGTCGTATCCGCCGCGGGGACCAGTTCCTGTGGGTCCGCGCCAAAGACGTGGCCTGCAAGTGTCCCAAGATCAAGCCCGGGAAGAAGTACCTGCTGCTGGGGAACGACGAGGATTCCCCCGGCCAGAGCGGAGTAGTGGCCGACAAAGGCAGCCTGGTTATCCAGTGGAGGGACACGTGGGCGCGCAGGCTCAGGAAGTTCCAGCAGCGCGAGAAGAAAGGCAAGTGCAAGAAGCCATAGGTGGAAAAAGACGGAGAGCATACCGGAGAGGGAGAGGAATTCAAGAAAAAGCTGATATAAAAAAAATGTAAAAAGTAAAAAGAGAGGCCGATAGAGGACCACGGACAGACAAGAGACTGTTTATGTCGCTGCTTTTTTGTGTAGAAGCATGAAGAGAATTATTTAGGATTTGTTTTTCTAGTGAACTTTGGTTGAAGGAGCTCACCTTGCAGATTTGGTTTTATCGTGTATTTTACTTTGAGATTTGTCTCTCTTGTGGATTTGCCGAATTTGCACCTATTACCAGCATATACAGTTATGTGTCCATTTTCTTTATCTCAGTATGAAATCATTATATTTTATGTTGTTGTTTATGGATATTTTCTGCTGGTGCAAAAATGACACAGAAAAAGCCACTTAATTACCACTGCAATGTTGCCTCTGCATGGTTTTCTTGTTGTATTCTTAGCTAAGAAGCGAGCTCGTTTCATCAAAAGTCTTCACTGATCTGTTTGAGGCAATAGTGTTTCCTCCATGTGCCATAATTAATATTGTTTGCAAGCCACAGAAATGCATATTACATTTAGCGGTCAATGAGTCGCCATTCCTTTTCCTCTGTTCAAATTCAGGTAAATCTGCTCCTCAAGAGTCAAGAAATCTGTAGATACAGATTTTTAGCTGTCAGGACTTTTGCAAATATGCAAGTGACGAAAGAGAATCAAGGATAAAACACAATATTCACTAAAGCGTACTTTACTCCCTTTCACTGGTTACGTTTTGATGGTTCAGTATTTGAAAATCCTGCTTGTGAAAGCATCTCTTTTGAGACTGTAACTGGTGCTGCTTATGGTACTATTTAAAATTATGCTTTTTTTGGAAGACAGACTGCATTTGAAACCACTTTTTTTTTACTTTCTTTACTTACAGTAACTGTGATTTATCTTTTCACAACTCCACCAGGAGTTTAACAACTGACTTAAAAAAGGTCCAGAGGCCAGTCTCTAATTGTTATAAATTCCCCATAAAAAAATGTTCAAAAAATCAGGACTAATTGTTTAGTTAGTTAGTAGTTAATTGAAATCATAATATTAAATATTGGTTCCCAAGAGGCTAGAAAATGAAATGTCAGATGTGTGTTTTTTAATTCAAAACATCTACATTTTAATGAGAATATTAACTCCTACCACAGATTGATTAGAGCTGTTAAAGTTACTCGAGTTGGGTCATTGAGTATATGCAACATTGTAGTTGTGCCGATGAAAGTACTGCATGTTCTCAGAAGAGACTGACAGACATGCAAAGAGTCTGTACGTAAGATTTTAAATATATAACTTTCAACTTACATCAGCTCCTTCAAAATACTTTGTACAATGTGTCATAATGTATTTTTTAAATGTCACTTAGGGCCTGAAATGTGGATGTCTAAAGATCACAAAATCTAGTGTGTTTCTTACCGTGGAACCAGACGCTTACGTCAAATATTTAATTCAACTCTAATGCAGTATGTTAACAGAGAAAATACATTATGAAGAGAAAAGAATGTCCTTACCTTATGTGAAGAAAACAATCCTAGCGCAGAAAATTAAGGACATTAGCGAAAAACAGCACCTTGAAAAAAAGTGCTCAACAATTTCTTAGATGTATTTTTAAATATCCACCTCACAGTTGCTTACATTCATCTAGGATTCTTCTTAAAGTACTTTGAGATTGCAGATAAGTCCACACAGTCTTTGCAAACACAATGCATGATTGTACATTCACTGTGCGGCCAGTCAGAAGCCACGGTGTCGCATTGGCCTGTCACGTTAATTCTCTCCACTTCAACACTTGCACAGGGAGGAATGGGGTGAATTGCAATCACTTGACGCTGCTTGATTCAAACCACATTGCTCATTTATTTGTATGCAGTTGGGTTTGGATTTCTCTAAGGAATGCGTGGTAAAAACACAGCTCAGGTTTGTAAAATCCCACAGTGTATTTGATGTATCATAAACTGGAGTTCCGTTCAGTCCATCCCAAAACACTCTGAGCTACATGTTTCATGTTGCTGGTATTTGTTGTTTCACAAAATCACATTCAGCACCTTTTAATGTGCACTAAGTAACTGTAAAACAGGGTTTAGGATATTTGCAAGACACGTGGTTTTAATCTAATGGACTCTCTACTTCCTCTGTTTAAAAGGTAATAAGTTCTGATTCCACTATCTCAGAAAAGTACTAATTTGTTCAGGAATTTTCATAATTGACTAAAACACAGGCTTTTCCATCCATAATCAAAATCACCTGGGTTCAACTGCAAGATAAAAGGAACAGATGCCCTTGTTGCTAAAGTGCGTTTTTCAGTATTTACATTTAGGGTTTGATGGAGTGTGTTTTTCTTAAATGTGCAATCCATCAAACGATTGTGATGTGCGTCAATCGTTACGCTCTAATGATATCAACACATACAGTATATTTACATGTTCCTGCCTTTCATTCTTAGTCCTACAACATAACATTACATGTCAATGTTTTTCTGTCTGGCACAATGTAATCTGTAATCCCACTTCTCTAGTCTCTGTAGCCTCATGCTGTACATTTTACATCCGTCTCCTGAGCGATGGTTTGACAAGCTTCCTGTTGAAATGCTACACACGTACCTGTCAAAGCATTGCTTTGTGTTCATACTATGAATTGTAAATGTTGTTTAGTTGTCACCATTGCCAAGACTATTTTTTTGCAATGTTGTTTTACAATGCGTACTAATATATTATGGTTATTATATATGAATATATTTAATGACACAAGACATTGTGGATTTTATTGTCTTTTTCATTTTTTTTTTTACTTGTTTGTGGTTGTTTAGATCGTTGACATTAAAGAAGGAAATAATAACTACTGAACACACCAACCTGGTAGAACTAAATTCAGATTTTCAGTTGAAATAAACTCTTGTTACATTGAAACAAACATGTGCCTCTGTTTGACTAATGATTTTTAAATGTATTTATTTAAGTAAGTATAAATGCAGCTTTTCTCCATTTACTGGTTGCCAATTCATAAAATTGCAAGTACAATATTATGTAGATTTTGCAATGGAAATATGCAATTGGTACCAGTCTGTCCAGCTAAATATCATGTTGGAAAACTCTTCTCTCCTCCAGAGTAATCCCTTAGCAATATTACAGACAGACAGGAGTCCAGGGACTATTAACTGGAAATGTCATTTATTAGAAATTACAAGCTCAAATGATTTACAAGGAAGGAAAACAGCCATGTTAGCTACACAGCCGAGCGGTTTGTTTTGGCTGAGAGCTATTCTAGAAACATTATGAAATCCAAAGACAAATGATAATATTAAAGTGGCTGCAGTAGTGCATGGTTAAACACAAGTTAGTGTAAATGTTGCAGAAGCTTGCAGAATAACTGTACCCAGTGTGAGTCTCAGACCACAGACAGACTTGTGAAAGAAAAGCTCCCACCTTCACCACCAATAGACTGGCAAACCTCTTAATAATTTAACAATTTAATACATTGAGAATGAATAAGCAAGACACTTGAACAACTTTTAAAAAAGAACAATTAACACCTAAGCAGAAAAGAAGACATTCAGTTCAGTATTACTAATGCCTCTCACCTAATAACTTTTTGTATAGAAAAATGTAACTGCTGCAAGGCTAGTGGCCTTTGACTCAATATGAAGATACATACTGAGAAAAGATTTGATGAGACCTTGATTAAATGACTGTACAGGTGCACTGTCGATGCAAAAGCTTCGGTATTCTGCATCTAACTGTGTTCAAAGTAGTAGTTCAGCACAGGTCGGTGATCACTGCGTCCTCCTCAGCTACACAGGCCACACGGCGACCACTACGATGGCTATAAGGAGCAGCACGATCACCACCAGCATCCCTGAGAGGAGAAACAAGAAGAGAAAATTAGATTGTAAAGCCCAAACCATGTGTCAACCTTTTTTTTTGTTATCAACAAATTCCATGAAAAGACACAAACAAACAATGAATGGACTAAAAAACTAATTTTGTGTATCAAATACCTGATACAGGTGTAGTTACTCCCCAACAATTATAAAACATGCTCATTATTGTCACACTTTTGCACTAAAAGATGTGCATTCAAAACTATTGACATCCCATGGTCCCTGTTTTATTGTTTCTTTTGAGTTCTCACTGCTAGAGCATCAAATGTTAATTAATCCACAGCTGACGGTTCCAAACAAATACATTTTTTAATCCTGTTTGAGTGACATTTGTTTAAAACACAGAGCCAAACTATTTCAGTAAGGTAACTAACCCAAAACAAAAAGAAAAAACGTTTGTGACCTGAAAAGATTATTGGTAAAAATCTGAAGTGACTTCTAAATGGCCCCTATTTAATCCAAATGGAGTGTCTCATATTGACTTTACTATAGTCTGTAAATAGCCTAAAGCCTTTGGAGTTCAACACATTCCCTGTAGTTTTTATGTTGGAAATGTAAATGTCAAGCAGCTGAGGAACTCCAAAGCTGATCTGAGGGATGCATGGAGAAGGAGGGGAATGCAGCAGACTCCGGGGAATACTCTTGGAAGAGGTAAGAAGCCTGCATACCTCACCACTAATTTCCTAAATCCTTGATCTAACACAAGTCCCAAGTGCTTATGCCCTCGCAGCATAACCCCATTCTCCTCCTGATGACTTAATGCAATGTACATGCGTTGGAAAGCTTTATTGCCACAGATTGCACACTGTGATAGGCATGTGTTTCTGATTCTGCCTTGAGAGGATAATCATTGTTTTTCACTGATACCATGGAAGCAGAACAAAATGTGCAAAGGCTCACTCACACTTCATCAAAGTGTTTTACCCCCAGGACTTGAAAATATTACACTTTTTATTACAGTCACCACCCTAGGAAAAAAAAACCTTTCTGTTGTTAAATCCACTACAGGTGGAATTTCCATTCTTCTCAATAAAGACCAATGCCGTTTTGGAACTTAACAATTACATTTTATTGAATGTTACCAACTTGGAAGTGAAGCAATAGTCCAACTGATATATATCGCCAGGCAGATTTATTTCTCCGATATTAGATTACAATGATATACTGTATAAGCATCTCAGAAGCCAACAAGTAACAAGTTATTGAATAGAGAAAACCAGAGTATCTAGAATTAGTGTGCATTATTTTTAAGTTTAGGTTTAGAGTTTAGTCTTATTCTATATCTCATAACACTCACCAAATGTATTGGACTCCTTTCATGAATGTGTTTCTTTAAGGATAATAATATCAGTAACATATTGTAACCAGAAAAACTTTAAAATATAAACATCTGTATGAAGCTAAAGGAACAGGTCGGGCTATAACTAAATCCAAAACAGAAGTGGCTATGGAAACCCAACACTGGAAAATATTTGGTACATCTGTCATGGTAATAACACTATTAGGAATTTAAAGAGTGGTTGGTCAAATATATTAAAATCTGACAATCAGGTCTGGTTTTTTTATATATTATAAATGTATTCGCACAGTCTTTGGGCGACGTATATAAAGAGAAGTGATGTTGGGTGGCCTATATCATGCACATCAGACACTAAAAAAGGATTTGATGGTCTATCCTCAGGTAAAGTATATATACTCTGAGACCTATACCACATACACAAAAGATATGGAGAACTCTCTCCAAGGGCGCTCCCAACCACTATTTCCGCGCTAGAGTGGCACAGGAGTGAAGATTTCAAACAACCGCACCCCTGGCCGGTCTGACAGTCCCCTCACTGACTCAAGATGTCCATTGTTATTTAGCATGCGGCTGGTATTTTCCCCAGCCTTTCACTTTGGGTTTACATTTCTCTCATTCTTTGGCTCTCTCCTCCCGCGTTCCCCTGCACGGACTAATTGGTCGTCTTTCCCACAGGGTAAGAGACAGGCGGAGATATAAGCCATGCTGAACTAATTGCTTGCGGTGGTCGTGGTGGTGTGGTGTTCTGATGAAATGTAAGGCTGATGCTAGTTTCTCTGCCAGGATACGGGGTATGGCTGTTAGGGGACCAGATGTCTTTGACTCATTTTGCCATTTTTTTTCCCTTTTAGATATTTATTGCAGATAGTCTCTTTCTCTGCATATAGGTCATTACTTAAGCCGAATGTTTTATTCCATTCGAGGTGAAGGTGTTCTTATGTCCACAGGACGAACATGTTGGAAGTCATCACTGGTCTAGACAGGACCTCTCCTCCTGATAACTTACACATGTGAGAATAAAATAAATGTCCAAGTAGAAAACACACACTCAAATAGTTGGTGTGATGGCTTTTTAAAAGCCTCATGCTTAAAGCAAATACACACACACATTTCCAGCAATTATCTTTGTTTGGGTGTAAACGATACCGACGCAACACCCAATCCACATTAGATTCAGACACGAGAATTTCATTCAGCCGTGTCCAACATCTGTCAGAAACTCCATTTGACGACACCATGGCAACAACAGCAATACAGGCTGAGCTGCATAACATGCAGTGTTGGAGGAAGTGTAGTGACCTCAGTGTATACAGTACATACTTTGTTACAAGAAAAAGTCCAGCATTTAAAACTTTCTTAAAGGGGACCTATCATACAAAATGCGCTTTTTGATGTATTTTATACATAAATATGTGTCCCCGGTGTGTCAGGGAACTCACCAAGTGTCAGAAAACAAAACCCTCTCTCTTTTCCTCCGTACCCACATCTCTAAAAACGGGGGACAACGGAGCTGATCCAGATTTGGGTCCGATATGACGTAATATCAGAAATGCGGGGATGTCTGAAATGCATGATCTGTTTGGTATTTTGAGCAAAACACATCATAGACATGTTTTTTATATATTTGTATATATCTGAGACCCATAATATATGCCTAAAAATACCATAATAGGAGACCTTTAAGTAAAATTACAAAAGTTATAGCATCAAAATATAATAAAACGAAAGTTATAGCACTCGTAATGAAAAAACACATATTTTCTAATTTAAAAAAAAGAGAGATAAAGTGAAAGGGAATTATTCAGGTACAAAAAGGAACATTTAAAATCATACTTTAGTACAATACTACAGAAATGTATTACTTCCAACAACTGAACATAAACATAGGTTAGTGGGGAGCAGGGCTCTCACCCACTATAATGTCATGTACCAGTCAGTCATGCAGCCCCCCCCCACCCGCTCCCCATGGACCAACCCTGTCTGCCTCGGTAACTAAACATCTAGTCCTGACCCCCAGGAGGCCTCCAGAGACTAATGACAATAACGGCGTTTGCTTGCCAAATAGATTAGGGCTGTGGTGTGACACTGATGCTGAGGGAGATAGTCGGGGTCTGCTGATAGACTGACCACCCAGGAGCTTTGGGGGCCAGAGTCTGGGTTCATCCCATCTTAGCAATTTTCAGACACATCAGTAAGACAAATCACAGAGAAAAGGAATAATTGGTGGGAGCTCCGGAGAGACCGAGACAACCCCTGAACCTCCCCTCACCACTCCCTCCGTGCCCCCTGCGTATGGTTCAAAGATCTTTTTGGACCACAAAAGGCGCGGATGACCTCTAAAGAAAAGGAAATTATTTTATGTTAACAAGGTCAGTTTGATGCTCATCATTTTTCTCACAGCACAATAGAAGATACTTTACAAAAAGGTTTAATGGTTTGTGGCCTAAAGTATTGAATAGCCATAAAAAACGAATATATATATGTATTTCTTAATTATTTCTAATACAACATCTGACATAGTGTGAGAATTGTTGTGAGCTCTGCTTTGGCTAAATGCTAGCATGCTAACTTGCTGATGTAAAGCAGGTATAAAAATCACCATGTTTTGCATCTTCATTTACCGTGAGAGCATGCTAACTAATCAGCAACAAACCCCAAGTAAAGCTGAAATGTCGTTTGGTTTGAAGATTGAGCCCTTAATATTGGACACAACACAAGTTATTTATATCTTATTCCTTAAGGGGAATTTCTGGGGGAAATATGTTTAATCGTTTTTGAAATATTTCAGTGTTGACCAAAGTGGTGGACCGACCGCTGCTGTGTCGCTATCATATCTAAATATTGTTCTCTGATAATATTTAAACATTATTGTAATTATATCTTCCAGGCATGCACCATTTGTCTGCATGTGAATAAAATCGTTGGTGTTATATTAATTAGTTAAGGTAAGATATTCAGCTGGTAGATGAAACCATAAGTGCCACATTAGCACAATAACTAGGATTACATTGTTTTCACAGAAAACTTGGCAAAAAGCAGACCTGAAAAATGTTTTAAATGTTGAAAAATGTCTCGAGTCACGTTTAAATTACCTTTCCTCCAACTAAGAAAAATGTCCGATGTGGAAACATCATTAGCAGGATGTATTACTTTAAGCAAACCTTTCATCAACCATGTGAAACATATTCCATTGCCATTTCCAAATTCCAACAGTTGCCATGTCAATTCGACGAGAGGAACAAGAGCTGGAAAAAAGATTGAACTGATTAAAGAAGACCATATTGTAAAAGTTAGACTACCCTATTTCGCAAAATAACTGTTTCCTTGAAAACTCTCAAATCCCAACTATACCAACGGAGTGCTTTTACCGCGCTACATGTTTTTCTTCCAACACTTTCAAATGCTGCCCCTCACCCACAGTCCCTTTAGCCATCCCCTCTAGTCCAAACAGTACGAACCTACTTGAGATGCGAGCCACCTGCAGGATTCACGGGGTTGCAGAAGTGGTCCTCAACAAACTGAGGATTAGCTGTGTAGAGAAGGGCTGCTCAAGCACCGATGCTGCCTGATGGTGAGGCCTAAGCTCTGGGGAACTCACACTACTCTGCAAGAGACCCTTTGGTCCCGTAGACTAATCTACCGCACTAATCCAACCCAACTCAAAGCCTCCACTCCTCAATTCCCACCAACATCAACTAAAACAAGTGGTAATGACTCTGTGAATCAGGCTTAGCTTTTTATAAGTGACAGCATTGGACCAGCAGAACAAAACAATAAATAAAGAGGTATGTAAGGAATATATATGAGGAATATTATCATGAATTTTTATTTTTATTTCCCTTCTTTTAGGTTCAACAAAATAAAATAAACTCCACAAGTGTTTTAACTTAACCATAACCCTAATCTCAAAGAAGTTTGGGTTATAGGCTAACAATAAAACAATTTCAAAAGCATTGCTTTTCTTATAAATACATATTTCTTAAATAATACATATTTTGTTTTGTTTCTCCCCATTTGTCTCTTTTGTCAACCCCTTGGTTACTATTGCAGAGTACAAATAATAATGAGGTATTTCAACTTGGGAATTGCTTAAACAGAAACAAGCCCGTGCAGCAGAAGAATCCAGAATGTTTCAACACAATGGATGTTTCACAACACTTGGGGCACCAGTCATGCACAGTATGCCTCAGGAACCATGGTCGAGTAATATGTGGGTCCTTCCCTTCTGGGCAGATGACCCGTCCCACAGCTCAACTTTCTCTTCTGCAGCTTTGTGAAATTCTCCAGTGCATGCACTCAAAACTGTTACGCCCCAAACTGAGTGCAATGTCTGATAGTTTGGATTGATAATCCATCAGTGAAGAACATTTTTCAAATGTTTAGCACAACTTTAAATCTAAGATGCCTCTTTTACAACGACGGAGATTCCAATAGTTATGTTAAGTATGCTCTGGCCTGTCAAAGCCAGACGTTTCTAGCTTCACAAGGACTCGGCTGAGACATAACACCAAACGCCGGTTTCGGGTGGTTTCAAAAATAAATAAAGCCTTAAAGCTAAGGAATTATAAACACGCTGCCATGGAGAAAGAGGGAAAGCCCTCCAAACAATTTGTGGCATGTAGTATTTTCAATTCTTTCTCTGCTTGACACAAAGACGAGTGTCAAACAACTGAGGAGACGAACAAGGGGATGACAGAGAGGAATGGAAAAAAGAGAGAGCATTGAGGTGAGAGTGAGGAAGACTCTGGGGGAAATGTTCCATTCACAGAGAAGGTTTGAGACAACACACACACACACACACACACACACACACACACACACACACACACACACACACACACACACACACACACACACACACACACACACACACACACACACACACACACACACACACACACACACACACACACACACACACACACACACACACACACACACACACACACACACACACACACACACACACACACACACACACACACACACACACACACACGAACATCCTGCAAATTCATATTAGTATATGTCGGTGCACACCAAGTAAGCACAATGCACATACATGCAATGCATATAATCATGCAGATGAACACAGGCGCATACACACATATACACACACGCCATGAATATTCTTCAGCCTGGAACTGAGGACAGGGAGGGGGGAGTTAGGGTGGTAAAAGAACAAGTTAAACAAAAAGGAAGACAGAAAGAAAGAGTCCTGATTCTAACACAATACAAGCTCTGGGATCTACAAACAAACTCACGCTCGGGCACCATGGGGACACGACCAACAGAACGAGGCATTGGGGGGGGGCTGACCTTCCTGCTGCCTGCTCTGCTTCTGTCTGTGACCGCCAGGTCTCCTAGCACAACAATGCAGCCTTTTCCATAGCGATGCTGTCTGGCGTTTCCCTGGGCAAACTGAGCCAGGGTGAAGCTCTCACATTCCACAGATTGGCCTGAGCCAGCTAACACACCTCTCATGGCAGCTGTTTTCTTCTGAAATGTATTACACACTGAGTCTTTTCAAAAATGGTAAAACAAAAGTTAAACTCACTGAAGCAGATCTGTGGTAATAGAGAAGAAGAGTCACAAGGCCTCTCAGAGTACAGTCGAGACAACACATTGAAATCTGAAGCAACTAATACCTAATGCCATGCCTACACTGGAGGAGTAGCTTTAGCGACATGCTAGCAGCTTTACATAGGATGCATTCAGGAATAGTATAGATGTGTAGGATAGCTCCCATACATAGCCAAAGTGCCTCCTGTGGCTGATTTGCAACACAAATTACTCATTTGGGGATTCCTCAACGGTCTAATATGGGAGACCCCCTTTTTAAGGCCAGGACACTTAGTTAGCAGGCGTGACAGACAGAGCCAGTCCACCCACCATTCACCACCCAGACCCCTGTGCCAAGAGGGCTTGTTCCCAGCAGCATCATATTTTCTGCACCATTAAGCACCATTATTTCCAGAAAAAAAGAAGGCCAATGAAAGAGTAGTACCAACATGGCTCATATCCTGAATACTAAATAATAATGTTGCATTGCTAGAAATGTGCTGAACCCAACATGATATGTCACAATACACATTGTTTGTCTCACACAAGCCAGAGTTACTTCCTCTACAAAAACTATAGTCTGTTGGATATCTGCTCTGTGGACTGCAGGAATGGAAGAAAAAAAAAAACTGTATAAAAGTGATAATCATTCATATAAATAGGTTGTGATTTGCTTTCAAGGACACAGATCAGATATCAGACCTCCTTGATACGAGACCAAGATGCACCTCGGTAATGAAAAACAAGGCATGCTCACCGCAGGAGGCTGACTTTGTCTCCACCAGCTTCACCCGTCGTGTCTCGTTACGAATCCTGTCGTCCGTCTTGTCCACAAGATGTGTAAGGTCGTCAATGATTTCTGAGAGGCAAAGATAGAACAAGGAAAGAGAGAGAGGGAAGAATGTCAATACAATTGAATTCATCTTGCTGTTGTTGTGACTTCAGTGTTTTTGTTTTATTTCCTTTTAGACCTCCCAATACGTTTAGTGTAGTAAAGGAAATTACTCAAATGATAAAATGACAGGTTAAAGGACTTGACATTAGAGCAGTCAACAACTTCAAAAAGAGGCAGCAACCGCACAGACATGAGTGGTGGTGATGAAGGGAGTGGGCTGTGTGAAAGCACTCTTTCAAATGGTTTCACTACTTCCTGCATCCACTCTGGATTTAATCAGGTCCTTATTGTTCATGAGTTTTAAAGAGGTAAGCCCAGGCTTCAGGGACCGTGCCTGGGCGTCTAACGAAAGAGAGTGTGTGTTTTGTGTGTATGTGTGTGTATTTAGCTGTGTGGATACGGGTCCTTCAGTAGGAGTTCCTGACTTGAAGGTCGTCCAGATGGAAGCCTGTGTGATTTGTTAGAGGCAGCCACAGTGTTGACATGGCCTCTCCAGAGGGTCTGGCTCAAAAACAAAAACAGATAACTGCTGAAAGATTTCCAAATTCTTGATTTGTTAAGGTTAGACATCAAAATGTGATATTTGTCAGAGTTAATATTTACTTGGAGTTGTGGTTTTCAGTCAGAACTCAGTTACAAATGGCACATGGGAGGCATAACTCATAAATTGTCTCAAACGTATATAAACTAATTCAAATATTATCTGTGAGGTATATCTGTATATCTATCTCTTTCTGTTTTTTGAAATCAACCTGTCTTTCAATATTCATACTGCCATAACAACACAACCTTATGAATCATAAATTATCTTTGTTTAGGAGTTTTATTACGTTTCAGATTTAGATTTGTGAGCCGTTTGTATTTCTAATCCAAAAGTGACTACTCCAGAAGCCTTCTGAATTGTAAAGATAAAAAAAGAAGTGGCTGAACAACAAAGGAATCGGTTGAACAGAAACCAAGGTCAAGTCAAAGAAAAGGAAGTTCCTCACACACTTGTATCATCCTCTGATAAATGGACACTTTACGGACATGGGAAGCTTGACTCATCCACAAACCTCAGTTCAGTGCCAAGTGAAACACACTGCTCCTTCAGGGAGATAATTACATTTTATTGCTGCTTTTATGGTAGAATAGTACACAGTCAGTATGATCTAAGCTTACAAATTCCCACAGGTTAGAGCTAAGGGTCATCAGATCATTTGTCTTTGTGAGCACACTCATCTTAAGCTCTAGCTGCCTCTAAATTGTATCGACAAGAGAACATGGTTCCTCAACTACAAACCATCACAGCTCAACAAGACAGTCGGAGATTTGGCTGACATCAGATGATTAAGTTGCACCAATAATTAGAGGAAGGAAAGCATGTCAGTTTGGAGGGACAGAGTGTACAAGGGCAAGGACGAGGAGATGGAGACGTGAGAGCGCAGTATGTACAGTGTCCCTGGAGACCCCCACATCATCATCCACGCATCAGGCAACAATTTAGAAGGAAGAAACTCTTCCTTTCCTGGCAGGGCGAGGGGTGTAGACGCTGAACCATTTGTGCCGCGTGCCACTCCAACTATTCATAAAGGATGTTTTTAGTTTGCACTGCCAAGATTCTTGATCCATTTCTGGTCTTGCAATAACATCTCAATGTATTGATGAATTCTCATCTGTGCTGAGACATAGAAGTGGATGTGACCTTTGACTATAGCTGCAATAAAACACTGTTATACATTTTCTGAGTGGGAGCCCTACGAGGTATTGGCTTTTCTTTTGCGTAGTCATTCAATTCACCCTTTTATCAAGTCATGTTTTTAACAACATCATTCTCAATTTCCTTTTCTGACTTCTGCTTCCATGTATGACAGCTGCTGGCCCTGGTTTGGATCTGCCAGACCACAAAGAAAGCCCTGTTTCAGGCAAGGGTTACTTGTTTAAAATGTTATTACTCTGGATAAACCTCCAAAGCCACAGTGTTGGAGAGCATGGCACGTCCACAAACATAGATTCATTTGTTCTGTTGCTAGTTGCTTTAAGATGCATTAAAGGGGACCTATCATGCAAAATGCACTTTTTGATGTCTTTTATGCATAAACATGTGTCCCCGGTGTGTTAGGGAACTCACGCAGCGTCAGAAAATAAAACCCTCTCTCTTTTCCTCCGTACCCAAACCTCTAAAAACGGGGGTACAACGGAGCTGATCCAGATTTGCGTCCGATATGACGTAATATCGGATAATATAGAATGGGTGATCTGTTTGGTATTTTGAGCAAAACAATTCATAGACATGTTTTTTATATATTTGTATATATCTGAGACCTATGCTATTGCCTAAAAATAGCATGATAGGTGCACTTTAATGTAGTCTTATTTGGCCTTTAAACCACAAGGGACAATGTTTGTACTCTTTCTAAATGTTTATTAATAAGTATTGTACTTCAAATTGTTTGGAAATTATCAAGTATGATTATTATTTAGTCTGTTTTTTTTTGTCATTGTCACATCTGCAGTTTATAATAGTGAAACATCATATCAATTAACCTTAAATGTCATAAAGAAACCCCCTTAATTGATGTTATAAAATGACTGCTTAAAAAACAGTGAACATATATTTTTATCTTGGTCTGCCTTAACTGTGAAAAGCACCTGAATATATATCAGCATTTTAATTATTTTTGAAAGAGCTTGACTATGCCTTTTCCTAAATATAGGAAATGCCTGTACAAAAATCATTTTCTGCAGACAAAAGCTTTCAATATAAAGACTGAATACAATTTTGCAACTGTAGAAAATACTAGGCAATCTGAGTTCAGTTAAACCACAGAAAGGAAATATAATATTAGCATAAATGTGTCTTTATGTCCATAAATATTACTGGTATCTCTTTTTATGTAGGTTCCAGAAGATACTTTCTCCCTACTGAAATCAGTGACACTTACAGCTACATTTTCAGAGAGCTGGGGTAAGCCTGTCTGTTTGACAGTAAAACCAATTCCGTATGCCCATATGCAACAATTTTCATTTATAAAAGACACATATTGCATTTAACCATCATCCTAAAACCCTTTTTTCAAAAAAACTCTACAAGTATGTAAGCTTGTGGTAAATTAGAAATACTGAGAGTAAAAGCAGGATTGCCAGCTCTCTGTCGTGTTTCTCTGCTACCAACAGTGCCTTTTATTCACACAAAAAACTATGTAAGTCAAATCTGGCCCTTCTGTGTAGAGGAACGAGGGCCCTGGAGCACACTCACCAATGGGAGACAGATGTTGCTCTCACATGACGTCACCCTCTCCCTCATGACTCACACTCCCTGCGCAATCTCAACGCCATTTCATCTCTGTTCCAATACTTTGCAGGTTTTATATAAACAAACTCTCGCTGCGACCATCCCGCTCTCGGAGGGCTAACTAGTTAACAGGACTGTTTCTATCCCTGCTGTCAGCGTCATCTGGAACCACGTACAGACACCTATCCTTGAGATTAGCTGACACTGGTCTGGGCTAAATTATTACGTGGCCAAGGCACAAGTTCAGTATACCAATATTCCAGAGTGTACAAAGGCAGATGAAGCATCGCCACTCAATGTATGGGTGTTTACAGCATACCCACCCATCAGCCTCATAGCTGGACTAAAGGTGTCACACAGACGCAATAACCCTCCAGTCACTGTCTCCACTTAGTTCCACTCTTGAAAAGCAGTGTAATCTCTTTAAGAAGTTTTAACCAAGAATCAAATAGTCAAGACTATAATACAGAGCTGTTTTATATAATAATTGTATATCATTCAGGTATTGTTTCTTTCTTAAACCCATTGCTTATAATTCCCCCGGAATTTGGCTCAAGTCTAATTTAATGAACTTTGGATTCTGTAAGCCAATTGCTCTCTGAAATTCTCTAAGTAATGTTCCTTAAGTAAAACACCAAAAGAATAAGCCATATCCAAGGTCATTAAAGAACCACAGAGCTGTGATACATTATCCAGACGTAGAAAGGCAAGTGGGGGGCAAGGAAAAAATAACGGGATAACAGGGAAAAGTTGTCAGTTAGACTGATACAGAGAATACAAGACGTACAAAGAAGCGGAGATAAGGGGATTTGGAAATGTATCATCCTGTGTGTAATTTCCTTTGTTTTCATCTTTTAGGATGTGATTCTGCCAAACCAAAGCCAGAGTATTTTGACGCATGTGAAGATGAAATTAAGACAATAAAGGATCCCCACTCATTCCTTCACAGATAGTCATTAAATACCACATTGGGTACACACAACTCTGGCACAAGGTCTCAACATCCATTTTAAAGCCAATCATCAAATGGTATTATAAAGCCTAATTCAAGTCAGGCAGCAGATATGAAACTCACACGCAGGAGCATGGTGAGAAGTTTGTGAGACGTTCTCTATTTTAATGATCAAATTCCTGCATCCCAGATCTATATCCGCAACATGCCTCGGAAAATTGCTGACTCATCTTCTCGGGTCGAAAGCAGAGTTGGTTTAGGTTTGTGTGTGTGTGCATGTGGTGGAGGCAGTGCCATAAACAGTGACACCCCAGCGTGGCTCCAGGATGTGCTGTATTAACTCTGTGTGTTATTGTAGGACTTGTTCCCAGAGAGGGCACAGTGCACAGAGAAATCGCTTGTTTTCTCTCACCGATTTAAACGCAATCTGCCTCAGTGGGGCTAATTCTGTTGTGCTTGTTCAGGAGATGATTTCTCCTGGGGCAATGGAGAAAGAGGGAAGTAAAGACGGACAGTTTTTTCACTCAACCCTCCTCCTCTATCCCTTGTTGTAATGCAAGGGGGTCTGACCACAACTGTTACCAATTGGCCCTGGTGTGACTGACTGTGTATAGAGGGGTAGAGCTTTGTTGCCAACGAAAACACACACATTTCTGGATGTAACTGGAACTTCACTTGGCACACACAGGGCACTCAGCATGATGATACAACTCAAGGAAATTATGGTATTTACAAGAA